TAGCCCTCGATATGCCCAAATGAGTGGAGCTGGGTCAGGAGCTGGGAGGCGCTTTTCTTTGACTCTCCAAGAGGGGAAATGGGGTGCAGTTTACCCAATTCCCATCGGAATACAAGCCGACTCAGCCCCCATTCCCTGAGGCTGATGGAGCTGCGGGTAACTCCACGCCCTCCCCACAAATCCGGCATTATCCCCCATTCTCAAATCCAAGGGCACAGGGCGCTGCAAAGGCTGGTGAGAGACAGCAAAGGAAACAGTATCAATGCTGCCGAAGACGACGACGACACATTGGAGTAAAACGGAGCTCTACACCGGGACCCCTCCCCAAACTGTGTTTGCAATAAGGGACCGCTGAAGGTGGGGACAAGAGGCATCCTCCCCAGACCCAGGTTCTGGGCGCTCACCTGCCTTTAATCACCGACCGACCGGGTGCACGGCTCGGAGGCAGCAGGGAGCCGCCCCTGACCGGGGAAGCCAGACACGTTCTAGATAGCAGAGCCAGCGCTGAGTTATCTGCAACCTCGGCCGCCAAAGCGCCCAACCCCAAAGCCCCGCCCCCTCGCTCCGCGGAGGCCGTGGTCCGCCCCCTCGAGGCCCCGCCCCCTGCCCCCGGGCGCTTCCCGGGCCCTGCACGTGATGAAACCGCTACTTTGATGATGCACGCCATATTGGCGAGGCCTTGGGTGTCTCTACCATGCAGGGACAAGCTACTGTCTTCCCCAGCAGGACTAGGGAGCCAGGATACTGTGCCCAGTGCGCTGCACACGCCGTTTCTCTTCTATAAGTCACCCCTGTCCCTAATATAACTGGTTCCCTGCATTAGCTTTGCTCCTAGCATTTAATTGGTGGCAACAGTTTATTACCTTTCACAACTGTTCATACCCTCTTTTTACTTTCCCTTTGGTTGCGCCCATTTTTTAAGCAGAGAAACTTTAAATCCAGAAAATTTTTGTAGTATGCACTTCAGTGAATTGTGAGCTTGCCTTCAGGCACCTGGCTGTTCTAACACTGTTACTATAAAATGAAGTTTGTCTAGTATATATGCATAGTATGAAGAGAGTTTCAAATGCCAAAATTCCCGGCTGGCATATTTTAGCTAAAGCTGTGTTTTCCTGAATTATCTTTTATCCTGTCTTCTATGGCTATTAATGAATCTTTCGCATCTGGTTTGTGAAAATTTTCTTGTTGCCCACTCAACTCCTTTAAGTATACCCAGAAAGCACTGCTAGAAGTGTGAAGACTTTTTATATGTGTGCAATGTGGACATATGTGCACTTACAGACATATACACAAGTTTTATATCAGTAGCAAATGCTGTACACGAGATTAAAAAAAAAAAGATGGCACATCAAACCTATGTTTCATTTATTTCCGCCCCCCCCTCCCCCCACATTTCCCCCAAAATATTCACCAGATAGTTTCCTTGCATCTTTGGAACAAAACATGGAACTCTGAGTTAACTCTGATTTATTTGGGGGGTAAGAATTGAGGTTAAATTTGTGCTATTTTACTTATCTAACCCTCAGAGCAAAATCACAATATAGGATTAAGGAAGTGAAATTATAAAGCAGTTTTAAACCTGTAGTACAGTAAGTTCCAACTCTTCTTCAGGTAGTTCTCACCAAAAGGAAATCTCTGAGGCATTTTGTATTAAATAAACATGAATCATCCTTAGTCTAAAAATGGTAGCTCACCCAATGCAGAGGGAAGACTGAAGTCATGATGACCACCATTGATAGACACTTCACTCAGTGTTGTCAATATTATGCTAACAGACAGCTGTTAAGTATTACCTAATATTGTATCTATCATGGAGCTTGACACAAAAATCCAGTTGAGTCAGAACACAATTATTGAGTCAAGTTTATTTCACTCCCTAAAAGTGGGGGGCACACAATCCACTGGGAAAACGCCCTCCTGCTTCATGGCATCCTGAGCTAAGGAAACTAAGGCCTCTGTGCATCTTTCCTTCTGCCTCAGAGACGCAACTTTTGATTGTAGAGACTTGCAAGCTGCTTACTGTTTTTAGATTTTTGGTTTGTTTTTATTCTTTAAATGCCCAAAGGCAGTTTTTCAATGACCCAGACTCACTTTCTGTGTGAACAGCTTTGATACCACCCTCAGTGTGGAGTAAGGTAAGCTGTAGCTGATGACTAGCAGCAATATTAAGCAGATGCTTCCTAAGAATATTCCTTAAATAGCTGGGGGTAGAGAGGATGGTAAGGAAAAAACATCCTAATTTGGCAGTTTGGCTCATGCTAACTACTACCCCCACAAGAAATCCATCTTAATGCCCAGCTCACTGGTTATTTGGGGGAAGGAGGCAGGCAAGCAGCAAGGTTATCTTTTAACAAAAAAATAAAGCCAGCCGTGACCAGCTTCTCAGAATATACCACCTTCAGTAAGTCCTCTGACCAACAGGAGGACATTAGCATTTCTGCAAGGACAGGAGGCCAGGCTCCCAGGGGCACACAGTAGTGTACAGCAAAGTACAGGCACTAACTGATTTTAGTTCAGGAGGCTGGTTTCTATTTGGGTATTCATTTTTTTTTAAATGACCTTCAGGCTAATAAATGCCTTTCTAGCAACTCAATGAAAATGCAACTATCCTCCTTACAGTAACTTTCTTGATTTGTTTTACATTTTAATTAAAAAGAAACATTTAAAAGATTCCTTCATCAGTCTTATATATATCTCTTAGGCTAATTAGGGATAAGGTATATCTCAATTTCATCTTTACTCACCCTTTTATTTTTTTTAAATCTATGCCCACTCTGTCTCTTCCCTTTTCCCACCATCTGTCACAAGAAAAATGAGACTGATCATTTTCACCGTGGTACAGCAAAAAACAGACCTGGGTCCGAAGCTTGGCTCTGCCATATGGCCTTGGATAAGCCACTCATTCAGTTTCCTCACCAGTAATAGGACCAGTATCACCGATCTTGCAAGGTTGTAAGTATTAGAGATGTTATGTAAAGTTCCTAACACAGTACCAAGGGCACCAAGTCACTATCACTACCACAATCAACTTCAGGCAAAAAAAAAAAACAACACTTTTTTTTTTTCAATCTAAACTCCAAAATAGGCAAAAGAACATTTGCACATAAATAGCCCAAAATTATTTTTTTAAAAAAGACACCAAAGTCATTTTTAAGATTCTGAAAACCCTATCACCTACTTTATTTCTGGAGAAGGGTATAGGGAGAATCACTTGGATTTAATAAGCAGCTAAATTAGAAGCAACAACAACAACAATTTTAGGCCTTTGATCCATAAGGGAATGGGGAAACTTCCTTATTTAGAGAGTCAAGAATTTAGTTTCTCCCTAAAGCAAGCCCATCCATTTTCACTGGGATAAAAGAATAAAGAACAACAAACTCAATAGCACCAAATGTGGTTTTAACATAGAAAATAGGCCCAGATTTCTCCTTTCAAATGCAATTCTGTAGATGAAAATACATTTATAAATCAATTGATATTTCTCTTGATTCAACCCCTCTTCTCACCACACAGAAGCCCCTGGAAACTGAAGAGCTTGTGCATTACTAACCACACACACAATCAGCTGCCAAATACTAATGGACAGGCCTAGTTCAGGGCAGCCCCCGGGGTATAGGTCACAATAACTATGCTCTTAGGGAGAACGGATACTGAGGGTGCCACCAGTCAAAGAGCCGAACGCTGTGCACTGGGTCAAGGATGACTTGCACGCCCTGTTCACTGCGCAGTTTCCGACCACCACGGATAGGAGAATCCTGGAACACTAGTCTCACTCGATGGTGCCGCATGTCCGTGCTCACATTGATAGTAAACTGAGAGAGAAAAGCAAATTAAACAAGTTTGGTTTCCTATGGCTCACACTAAATTAGACATTCTAGATATCAATTACACTAGTTAGGCAACAGATTGGAGTCTTGGTATGAAGCTGTAGGATAAGCCCTAGAATGCTAACTGGAAAGTTGGTGGTTCAAAACCACCAGTTGCTCCTTGGAAACCCTGTACATGGTCAATATGAGTCAGAACTAACTCAAAAGCACTTAACAACAGGCAGCAAGATTAACCTCAGGATTATAACACCAATACGTTTGAAAAATATATATAAAGGGTGAGTCTTATAATTTGTAAGCTCTTCTCAGCTTCATATACTTAAACTAAAGAAAGCCTCATAAAAGGCCGAATAAATAGGAATACATCCACATAACTACCATTAAAGACATTTTTAAAAACTGAACTACAGCTTTTAAAGATGAAGGGATTTTGATATTATTGAGTAAGTGAATACAATTCATGTATGTATTATCTGTTCACATTTTTTAAAAATAAAACACAAAGTACTTAAATATGCATGTGAACATAAAGGTCTAGAATTCCATGAGTATAGAATACAAGGAACATACAAGGGGACTTCAAAATGTTTGTGGAAAAATGGAGTTAAAAGATAATGGAGTTTTTCCATGAATTTGGAAAAAAACCCTCATTTGTGTATAAAGTAGATTGTTAAAGTGGCTTAACCTGGGAAGAGGGGAGAGGTGTCTACAATGTCATCATCCTAATTATGTAAAATTATTTAAGAGGGTAGGTATACATACATAGTACCAAACACATTACAAAGAATTTCCCAAAAGATTAACAGAAGTTATAAGGTAGTAGAAGTCTAAGCTACCTTAAGTACTTTCCTAATATCTTTATACATTATTTAAATTCTTTACAATGATACATACAGAGAAGTATGTATTATTTTACCAGAAAAAAAAAATTTGAGTTTTTCATTGTGGAGGGGAATCCTGCATATCTCTGAATATAAGCCTAAAATAGAGAGATGACAAATCATATGAATTCTCTAAACGCAAATCCAACTAAATGTTTAAAAATCTGGAAACTATGTCAGAGGCTTACAATCGAAGTCCTAAGTAGTATTTGGTGAGTTAGAGCATCACATCAAGGACAAAGATGGCTATCCATCTTAATATTCCATGTTATGACCTCAGATGCATGCCCAGGGTCCTGAGATACAATGCTTGTGTACAAGCATTGTCATTACCCCTAACCAGACAATGTTTCTCATACATGAAAGATCACCACATGTGAGAATGCAAAAACTTTCTCTTTTAGAAAAAAGAGCATTTCTATAGAGAAGGAAACAAGTAAAATACTCTCAGGTATAATTTAACTGCTCCACAAATTTACTCATAATATACATATCTTATATCAGATTTAAAAATTATTCTTCAAAGATTTCTTCCTGGATGGTTAAACTTACAAATCTCTTTCAAACCCTAAATAGAAAAAATTATGTACAAGAGCTAGAAGTCCTAGTGGTCCAGTGATTAAGCGCTCAGCTGAGAACTAAAAATTCAGTAGTTTGAACCCACTAGCTGTTCCACGGGAGAAAGCTGCAACAGTCTGCTCTGTTCTGTAAGGTCTCCAGGAGTCACAATTGACTGAATGGCAATGTCTAGTTTGTTTTTATTAATGGGTACAAGAGCTCAGAATGACACACTGAGGTCCCCCGCACCTACACTTACCAAGGTAAATATCATTCCCATGACAATTGGAATGAAGATAAAATTGAGAGTGGTGACCTGCAGCAAGCAGCAGTCCTGGTCTGGGTTGGTGTGAACATCTTCATATTGAATGGGTGGCTGCAATCCTCCCATACACTTGCTCTTTAACCTAGGGGGCTGAAGAGAACCAAGAATTAATCTAGGGGCTTCACAAAATGTGTATTGCTTTAAGACTCAACTAAAGCAAGTGAGATGTACTGTCTTATTATCTCCTCTCTTTATACTATCCATTTTTACAGAGAGATCAAAGAAAACCTGCCCTTTCAAAGAAGGGGAAACACATTTGGAATAGCAGCTGTTGCAACATTCACAAGCAGAAGGCTTTGTGTTAATTTTATTTTAAAAGGCAGTTATATCCAACTTGCAATTATTGTAGTATCTGTAATGAGGAATGCAAGCTTGACTGAAAACCATGGAGTTTAGTGCAAAGATACAATCTGTTCTCCAACCAAAACTAAACACAAGTAAAACTTCATTTTAATAAATACTACTTTAATACAGAGCCTAAAGAATAACTGCAAAGCTGTTTCCACATCCTGGCCCATGGCCTTTTTTGTTTGTAGTTTTAAAATTTCTATCTAATAGGCTAAACATTAAAAATAGCTTCCATTATACTAAGATTAGACCTTACAAATCTATGGCAGCAGACTGATGCTTCATTTAGATGGCATTTCCTGCCATCTGACAAGGAATGGAAACTTATCGCCTCTATCAGAGGCTCTCTAGTGTTTGAGAGATTGCAAATTCCTTGCTACTTTTCAGACACCAAAGAACATCTGCTACACAAAAGGCTTAAAAGCAGAAGTAGCCACCTTAATTCCAGGCACCATAAAATAAAGGAGTCATAGGCTCAGCTCAGCACTCACTTTCACACAGTAATTCTAGTTTCTCCTCATCGCCACATCTCACCACTTATGGCTGCTCCCCAGTCCTTCTACAGAAAAATCCTACTATGAATTTTCTACCAACATCTAATTAGTGTCATAAATATTGGTCTCTCATTAAATCCAATGATCAGATAGAAACAAACATGTTTTTAAATCATTCAATAGTAAACTATAATACACTTTTCTTACAAACCTATCTAACTCAGCTGGCATCAAGTAAAGGATAACTAGCTGTATTGGTAATGTGTCTCATAAGTGAAATTTTAAGTAGAGGAGACAGGTGGGAAAGAGTGAGGCTGTCGAGGATAAGCGGTAATGTTTTGCCTGTTCACATTTTTTTTTAAATGTGAACACGCAAAAAACAGTTATTCACTGTGGCCAAGACCACAGGTGAACCCCAGCCAAAGGCAGTGACAGAGGTGGAAAAGTGTTAACCCATCCTAGAAGCCTTTGGGCAGTGCCTCTCCTCACAGCTTCCCCAAACCAACTCAGATATAAAACCCTGTAAATTACTGTTGTCTACAAATTGTTTACTTGGAACAAAAACAAAACTTTTTAGGCAAGTAAGCTCAGTACACTGTTCTATTATCTTTTTTCCATTTCCCTCACTTTTACGCACACACTTTGGGGTGCTGCTAAGCCATTTAAAAGTAATATTGGCATTCTACCCTTAATTAATTTAATATGAATAGAGACATTATGACATAAACATATTATCACATGTCACAAAATTAGCAATAATTTCATAATATCTAATATCTATAGCATATTGACATTTCCCTAGTTGTCCCAGAAATGTTTTTTATAGCTTTGTTCTCTGATCTAAGATACAGCTAAGGTTTACTCTTTGCAGCATTATGTTGTTCTATCTTTGTAGCCTCTTTCAGTATAAAACAATTCCACCTTCCTTTTCTTTTCATGGCATTATTTATGTGTTGGTGTGCATTATTTGATTTTAATAAGGCGTTTCTGATGTCTAGTGAAATGAGAACAAGGTACCTGAAAAACAAAAAGCAGATAATGTTTGTTTGGAAACAGTGGTGCTTACCTAGCAGTGAGGTACAATTAAGTTCTGGGATCCCTTAGTCAAACAAATGGCTCAGCCTCCAACCTGTAACAACTAAAACATCCTCACCACCAATCCCTGGAAAAGGATCATTTCATGAGGTTTTTCTATTAATACTACAGGCTCCTTCAGCATTTGTTTCACCTCAAATTATGGGGCAGCTATGGAACTCTTGTGAATATGCACTGTTCTTTCCCACTACTGTTCCCTGTATTATTCAGTATTATTCTTATTATTTCCCAATAATGTTTAGAGAGATAGCCTCTCTAAAGATCACAACAATAATGTTGAGGCATTGAATTCTGTGGATACAAATCTATAAGAAGTATCAAGCCAGGTCAATGGCTAGACCCTAAAGAAACTTAAGTGGCCAGGGTCAAAATGAACTTATTGGAGATGATTTGGTTAGCACTAAGAGTTAAGAAAGAAAACTACCGCTTAACAGGTTGATGTACAGCCTGTTAGAATCCTTAGAAAATCCTTGCCAACTGAACTTCACTAATCTCCCTACCCTCCCTTCTTGCTCTCATACCCCAAGTTGTTGTTGTTATTGTTGTTGTGTGCCAATGAGACAATTCCAACTCTAAAGACCCTGTACAAGGTTTCTGAAAGCAGCTGGTGGTTTTGAACTGCCAACCTTGCAGTTAGTAGTATAGTGTTTATCCTATAGCACTACACCAGAACTCCATACCCCAAGTAGATACTGCCATATAAGTACACACTGAAATATATATAGCACATTAAAACCACATACCTGTTTTTTGAACTTGAAGTTAAATTCCCACATTGGTTCCTGTCTATTCCCAACAACCTTTCTGCACCAGAAAAGCAAGCACTGTAAGAAAATAAAAACAAAATAAACCAAAAATAAAGGGGGGGAAAAAAGAGAGAAGAAAAATAAAAATACACTATAAGTTTACAAAAAATAAAAGAGTAAGAAAATCCTCTCTATTTGACAGAACTAAAGTCAGCCACAGTCCCAACACTGAGATTATACTCTGGCACAGATAGGACCCTTAACTGACAGCGGTGCAACAAGAAGAGAGAAATCCCAGGGCTGTTCAATTAAGAGAAAAAGAGCCAACATACATCCCACAGAGACTGTGGAGGACAATGTCTACCATTTTCATCTTTAGAGATGGAAACATGGTCTCTGGAGACTGGGGCATTTTGATTCAGCAGGCTACTTCCCTACTTTAAATTGTAATGGCAGCCAGTCCACAGGCAAGAAACTAATAAGATTATAAGACAGGCAGAGAAGGCTAGCTTTGGAATAGAAGAAAGTTGCTCAGGACCTTCTGGGAGCAGACAGCGGTGCAGAAACTACAGAGCTGGGCTGAATTCAGTCTAGAGTAAACCCCTCAGTTAAGTCACGCTACAGCTAGGGTTAAGCACAAGAAGTGAAGTACCTCCCAGGGGACAAGGGGTGGGTCGTCCGCCGTGCCAGCTGTCCTGCCCTTCAGACATGCCCTGTACGTCCTGCTGTTCCATCAAAAATAATGGGCTTGGCTTTAAGGGGCAAACACTTCTGCTGCCATCACAACGGCTCCAGTGTCCCACACAAGCTATGCTACTGAAAAGAGAGAGAGGGGGGAATCAAATACAAAAAGCTGGAGTCCAGGAACTTCCTTTAGGCATGCCAGCAACTCCTTGAATACCACGCGATTGAGAGTATACAAGTGGCAAGGCCATGCATGGGACACCTGCCACTGCAGGTCCCACATCCTCTTCAGAAGACCTCTAATACAAGGTACAATAAGCAGCAGCCAGGTGGCCTGGGTTGGTTGTTTGGGTTAAGACCTTAGTTTCCATTCCACCTTGGCTTTTTATAGTCTACTTTTAAGAGTTAATATACAGTGATAAGAATATGGAAGACATGGGTACTTTAGAATTTAGGCAGTAGCACTTGCATTGTGCACTGGAGCCGCTAGGATGTGTCAAGCATTAGGAGTTTGCTAGATGCTATTCTGCTCCCAGCAACTGATTCACACCTGGTATGGTTCATTTACGGAATGACCTAAGCCTCACCACAGTCGTCTGATACTGTCCAATGTTTCTGGGGGAGGGAAGCTGTGAGTCAGATGATACACTGCCCACTCATATTACAGGCAGAAGCAGCTGCTGGATGAAATTCTACTCGCCCAGCATTCTACTCCTGCCCTAAATCCATCAGCTTGCATGGTATTACATTGAGCTCAGTCAATGGCCCTGACCTCCAAAGTTTGCAACCTTGGCAGGAGACAGGAAGGCTTGATAAACTCCTAAACTCGAGTCACGCTGATGAATCTTGAAATCCATTCTAATCAATATATAAGTATCAGACAGATTATTATCACTGTAGAGCTAAACGACACCTACTGAGTCAATTCTGACTCATGGCAATCACATGTGTTTCAGTAGAACTTCTCCACAGTGTTTTATGGGCTGCAATCTGTAAGAAAATAGCCTTTCATCCAGAGTGCCTTCAAGCGAATTTGCATTGCCAACCTCAGTTGCAGGGAGCTAGGGGGCCGTCAAGTCAGTTCCGACTCACAGCAGCCCTGTATAGGGTTTCCAAGGCTGTAAGCTTTACAGGAGTAGAAGAGCCTCATCTTTCTTTCTTGGAGCAACTGGTAGATTTGAACCACTGACCTTGCAGTTAGCAGGTCAGCTCATAACCCACTACACTGAGCTCAAACTATGTGTGCCACCCAGGGGCCTAAACCTAAACTTGCAAAGAACAATCACTATACAACTTCCATTAGTATAAAAAAAGAAGTATGAAAGAATAGGATGCTACAGAACAGTAGATTTGAGGTAGGAACAGAGTGAAAAAGTTATCTCCAAACTCTAAATACACGAAACTCAGACAATGGCATTTGCTGAAAAAGGTAGAGCCATCAATTTACACAAATAATTCTATGTAGGAGCTCTAGTAGCATAGTGGGTTACAAGCTGGACTGCTAACCACAAAATCAGCAGTTTGAATCCACTAGTCACTGCATGGGAGAGAGAGGCTTTCTGCTCCCATAAAGATTAACAGTCTAAGAAATCCTACACAGGGTCGCTATGAATTAGAACCTACTCCACAGCACACAACCACCACCACACTCCAATTACTAGGAGCTAGGCCAAAGTGATTCCACTAGAGATTTCTTGGGGATGGAGTAAACACTAACTGGCCTATTTACATAGAAATCAGAAGAATGCCAGAAATTTGAATACAATATATGAATATAAAATACTGGGGAAATCTTGAGACAATAAGAAATAGCCAAGCACACAGGAAGAGTTTTAGAGCTCTAAAATTGTATGTGGATTCCAGGTGTGGCACTGTGGGCTAATGCTCTGGACTACCCAGTCGGCCTGAACTGCAAGGTTGGCGGTTCAAGCTCACTGGTCACTCCTTGGAAAACCTATACAGGGTCACTATGGGTCAGAAACAATTTGATGGCACCTAACAATAAGATCAAGGGTGGTGCTGTGAGCTAAAACACTGGACCAGAAGGTCAGTTTGAACCACAAAGTCGGCAGTTCAAATTCACCAGCTGCTCCTCAGAAATCCAATACAGGGTCACTATGAGTCGAAACCGATTCAATGGCACTTAACAGCAACAACAAGATCTGGGAGTAGAAGTAACTTTTAGTCTCTGAGCACACTTACCACAGAGTCTAGCAACAGTGGGCATTTCACTGTATGGAGAGCAATAAGAAAAGGGACCTTAGATGTCAAGGTCACATTAGGAAGAAAAAAACAAGTGCATTGTTCATGATTTATCTTTGGATCATGATTTAGAGCACCTTTTAAAAATTACAGTTTACACCTACCATTTGAGCTGTGCTCTTACTAGCCCAAACCATCAAAAAAAAACACATCATTTCTGAAATGGCCCGATATTCAATGCATGGAAATAAGTTAAAATACAGAGAATGCCCCAACAGCACAGGAAAGCTTTATGGTAATAATAACAGAAGCCAGCCCAACACAGCAAGAATGTCTTGGAGATGTGAAGCCTTAGCGCCCTGGAAGTTTCATTAGTCCCCTAGCATCAAGGAAGCTGAAGAATAGGCCACAAAAACAAACCCATCATACAAGAGTCCATTAGTCAAACCCCAACACTATTTTCACTTACTTTGGAATTCTTTAGCGTGCTGGGAGTACTTTCTGGAATGGCTGGATTCTTGGAAATTCGAGTAGCAAATGGCTCATACATATGGTACAGAGATCGGATCACACATGCCCGGAGACAGCGCAGCTTTTCCATTGACTCTGGTCGCAGGCGCAAAGGTAGAGAGGCATCCAGCGTGTAGTGCCTGAAACATGACACATTACTCCTACCAATATGTGGCCAGTCCCTCCTGCTGCTTTGTCAGTCTCCTAGGGCTCCTGGTCTCTATATAAACTTCACAGCACTAATCCACCGGCCAGTACTTAGTTTGTCCCCAGTGCTCACACACACACAAATCACCATCTCCTTAACATCTGTTACTTTTGCAGCTTCTTCACTATGTAAAACCCAATTACATATATCTCATAATCTTGCAATTCTTCATCCCTTTTGAAATTTTAAATCCTCACTATTTCACTCTACAAAACAGCAACTCTCGGAATTAATAACAGTACAATATACTTCAGCTTGCTCACAAAAATACCTGTACTGGGGAAAAGCCACCCAACTCTCCTGTGAGACTTCTCAGCATGTTCTGTACTTTCTGATATCTGAACATCCCTTCCTACCACATCTTTACTAACAGTATACAATCTTCACTAGGCTTTCATACGCAGCATCACCCCTTACTATGCCCCTTTACTAACTATACAACTCACTCACTAATCACCATTACAACTATACATACAGCATAAGTACAAATACTCTATGATACTTCCAAGATGACTAGAAAAATCTGAAAAACAACTAGTTTAGTTGAAGAGATAAGCAGATCGGAATCTGTAGCTTTTGAAATATCTGGCTAAGATAAACCTCTGAAGAAAAGTCAAACAAAGTTCTTTTGGAATCTAAAGCACACAACTTTTTTTCTGAAAGCATATGTATACTGGGGATGAGGGTGGAGTGGGGCTGCAACCATAGGGAAGACAATTACCTGGATGAATTAATACTATCAAATTTAAATAGAGAGGGGCTCAGGGAATCCAATGCTAGGCTCATGCCCAGGCAGAGTAGAGAAAAGGAAAGGAGGTCACCATCCAAGAAGGAGCTCCAAATCACAAACAGCAATGAAATCAGCCATACAGATAACAGAGTGAGCTCTCTGTGGTCGCACCTTCGGTACAACCTGGTCCAAAAGGCAGCAGTGCAAGTGACAGTCCAGGCATTCTTACAAATCAGGGAAAAATTCACAATGTCCTCAGGACGGATGTAGGAGGCCAGCAAGAGCCAAATATCCATGGGATACTCTTCTCCTCCAGCCCTGTCCAGGTCTTCTGAAACAGAAAAAAAAAAAAAAAACACAACTTTTGACTTTCTGCTATACAAAATATCCAAAGAGCTTGACTTTCTGTTCTTCCAAGGCTTTGTGATAAAGAAAAGGGTTTTAAATAGGTCCAAGGAAACCGTCCCTCAAATTCATGATTTCCTGCTTATTTGAACTACTGAAAACTGTCTCCACTGCCCAAGAGGATAAGTCTGTTCTTAAATTTAAGGTCTTTTTTTAACACCTATTGACACATTATTTAAAAAAAAATTAAATATCTTTACATACACTATATCATTCAACTCCAATAATTTTTCAAGAGAAATATGGTAAACATTATTGTACCCATTTTGAGAAAATGAGAAAAACAGAACCTTGTGAAGGTACACAGAACCTGTTTTCTGACTTTGAGTTTCAAGCTCTGTACAATAAACCCTGTCCTTGATTTCCCTGCAGTCCCCATGCACCAAACATTTTCTTCAGTTCAACCATTTAAAAACAAAAACTGATCATGCATGGAGGGGATTGTAATCAATCATTGCAATGAAACAAAATATGATAGGATGAATGTAAAGCTGGTGTTTCTCCTATGTAAACTCACATAATTCACAATAAAAGCTTAAAAAAAAAAGAAGAATGCTTGGAGCACGGTACAAGTTACAGATGAATAAATTACTGAAAGGTTTTTTAAAAAATCATTTTTTAAAACAAAACTGATCTTTAGGATGGTAGAGAAAACCTCAAAGCAAAACTAAATTTTCAAAACTAAGGAAGTTACAATGTATTCTCATTACTTAATAACTGACTGCTTATAAACATGTTATTTTCTTCCAATTCCCCCACCATTCACTGCCAATTGGACCTATGACCTGGCCACAAATATTCATTCACTCCTTGGCAATGCATCTCTACCTCCTCCTTCAGACATTCTAAAAAAAAAGTGTTAATTAAATATATATCTAGATCCTGAGATCTACTATCCATCTCAGGTTCAGATAACAATTAAAGCTCCATTGATACTAGAATCTGAGCTCCACTGATTCCCTTAATTCAGAGATAGTAACAGAAATATGGCGTGGCACAGTAACTTCTGGTATGGCACTGTGGGATCAGCACTAGACTGCTAGCTACAGGGTCGGCAGTTCAAACCCACCAAATGCTCCTTGGAAACCCCATAAAGGGTCACTACGAGTCAGAACCGACTCAATGGCACTTAACAGCAAACTTAACAGGTATGGCACTGTAGGATACGCACTGGACTGCTAATCACAAGGTCAGGAGCGCAAACCCACCAGTCACTCCTCAGAAACCCTATACAGGATTGGTGTGAGTCAGAACTTACTCAACAGCACTTAACAACAACAGAAATATATCAAAACCAGCTTCCTCTTTTCCTTAGCAGAGTCCTGAAAACACCTTCCTATCAAAACCTACTACGAAGCCACAGTAGTCAAAACAAGTCTTGCTGTTGTTGTTGTTGTTGAGTGCCGTAGAGTCGACTCCAACCCATAGAGACCCTGTATAGGGTTTCCAAGGAGCAGCTGGGAGGTCAGCGGTTCAAACTCACCAGCTGCAAAACTGAATCCTAATTTGCCTAAGAATGGAACAAGACCCATATCTCATACCATACATAAAAAACGAGCATAAGATAGATGAAAAACCTAAATGTAAAACCTAAAACTATCAAGATCATCAATGAAAATAGCAGGAGCTCTGATACATGGCACACACTATCAAACATAACTGAAAATACACAAACAGCAGAAGGCAAACTAGATGACTCAAGACCTCCTAAAAATTAGACACATATGTTCTTGTGTGGCGCTGTGGCTTAATGCACTGAACTGCAAAGTCAGTTTGAACTACACGGTCAGTGTTTTAAGCTCACCAACTGCTCCTTGAAAACCCTATACAGTGTCACTATGGGTCGGAACTGACTCGACGACACTTAATAGTAACAACAACATGTCCATCGAAAGATTTCACCAAAAACATAAAAAGAGAACCCATAAACGGAAAAAAATTTTCACAATGACATTATCAGACAAGGGACTAAACACTAAAATTTAAAGAAAACTTCAACACCCTTACAAGAAAAAGAAAAATAATGCAATTTTTAAAAGGGCAGAGGCAGCTACCACTACCAATTGTTTTGGTAAGAATCACATTAGAAGTTCCTGGATAGAGTGGAAGAAAATGTGAAACAAAATTCAAAATTACAAAAGGATCATGTTTACTGGACAGAAAGAGACTGGAGGAACCTGAGACTATGGCCCTTGGTCACCCTCAGGTCTGGAGCTAAACTCACCCTCATGGTTCAATTTTCAGTCAAGCAGCCAATAGGTATACAGGACAGACACTAGTGAGGCATGCACACCATGGAATGGTCAACCATTCAAGATCAAATTAGACAGCATTTATTTACCTACAGACTAAATTCAGAAGCTTTGGAAAAGGTTGAATGAAAACAAGAATTACAGGGAGAAAGTGTGGTGGCTGATGTTACATGGAGATTAAAATCATTGAAATGAAATAAAGCATATGATTTATTGAATGTAAAACTCATAATTTACTTTTGTAAACCTTCACTCAATTCATAATAGAGTTGAAAAAAAAAAAAAAACGAGCAGAGGACATGAACAGACATTTCACCAAAGACATTCATTCAGGCAGTCAAGAAGCATTTGAAGAAATGCTCACAATCATTACCCATCAGAAAGATGCAAATCAAAACAACAATGAGATATGTCACCCCAGCATTAACTAGGTTCAAAAAAACAATAAAAAAACAAATGCTGTCAAGTGTCTAGAGACTGGGACCATCCTTATACTGCAGATGTGACTGTAAAATGGTGCAACCACTATGGAAAACAGTATGGCACTTTCTCTTAAAAACTCGGAAGTGGCCTCCTGAGGTGCAAGTATTGGTCTCTCCCTATCCAAAGTTTAGAGTGATGAAAATTGAAGATAATTTTGGACGATGTGAATGAACTACTGGATCAGGAAAACATCAGTCTCCAAAACCATGAAACCAAAAAAACTAGATAGTGTCCAGCTACCACTACTAACTGCTCTGAAAGGAATTACATTAGAAGGTTCTGGACAGAGTGGGAGAAAATGTAGAACAAAACTCAAAACCATAAAAAAGACCAGGTTGAATCCCAAGACTAGGGCCATTGGTTACCCTTCAATTCTGGAACTGAACTCACACTAGTGAGCTGATGAGAATGTAAAAAGGGTACTTTAGAATAACTATAGACAAATATTCATAGCAACATGATTCACAATAGCCAAAAAATGGGAAAAACCCAAGCATCAATCAATGAATGAATGGATATATAAAATGTGGGAGTTCTGGTGTGGCACTGTGGGTTAATGCGCCAGATGCAAAGCCATTTGAACTGCATGGTTAGTGGTTCAAGCTCACCAGCTGCTCCTCGGAAACCCTATACAGGGTTGCTATGGGTCAGAACCAACTTGATGGCACTTAACAACAACAACAATATAAAATATGGTGTTATCCATATAACTGAATATTATTAGGCAACAAAAAGGAATGAAGTAAACAGACTACAATATGAATGAACCTTGAAAATATACTAAATAAAAGAAGTCAGACACAAAAGGCCACCTATTCTAGGGTCCCATTTACATGAAATGTCCACATAGGCAAGTTTTTAGAGACAGAAAGCCCATTAGTGTTCTCTAGGGTTGGGGATGGTGGTGAGAAAGAATAGGAGTTTCTTTATAGGGTAATGAAAATGTTCAAAACTTAGATCATGCCAATAGCTGTACAACTCTGTGAACATACTAACGGCACTGAATGGTACACTTTAACAGAGTAAATTTTATCTCAACAAAAAATGCTTTAAAAAAGTTTGTAAGTCTTGTGCGGAAAACAAAGATGAATCTCTAATAGAATGGCTATGGTGACAAGTGACAAAAGAACAAAGAAGTGGGGAATGTCAATATTAATTTGGAGTCTTGAAGAGTGGTATCAGTGACAATAATTGGTATAATTACAAGGAATGCCAGTTCTTTAGTTTATTGATTTCTTCAATACTATGTAAATATATTTTATATCCTAATCTCAAGTAGGGATAAAAGTTTTGGTAAATCTGAGACCAAAAATAACATATAATTTATTACTTATCATCCTCTCCCTAAATCTAGTTAATCATCAGAATTGCCAGCAGAGCTGTAAGAATATATATTCTGGGCTCCACCCCAAGAGGTTCTCATCATTAAGTTTAAGGTACAACCTGGAATCTGAATGATGATTTAACACATTATGGTGGTTCCACACAATTAAGCACTGGACTGCGAACCACAAGGTCCATGGTTCAAGATCACCAGCTGTTCTGCAGAAGAAAGATGAAGCTTTCTGCTCCATGAAGATTTAAAGTCTCAGAAACCCTATACAGAGTTGTTATATGAGTTAGGAGCAACTTGACACTTAACAACAACAACAACATAGTTTTAGTTAAGAAGACCTGGTGGCACTGTGGGTTAGGTGTCGGGCTGCTAACCACAAGGTTGGCAGTTCAAACTCACTAGTTACTCGGCAGGAGAAAGATGAGATTGACTGCTCCAATGAAGATTGACAATCTGGAAAACCCTATGTAAGGTGGCTTTAAGTCAGAATGATTTAATGGCAGTGAATTTTGGTTTTGTTTATGCCATTTTTTGTTTCATTTGTATAAGTTTTATTTCCACTAAGCTCTGGTAGCGTAGTGATTACGAATCGGGCTGCAAACCTTCAGGTCAGCAGTTCGAAACTACCAGCTGTGCTGCAGGTGTAAGATGAGACTTTCTGCTCCCGGAAAGATTTACAGTCTCAGAAACCCTGTACAGGGTCGCTATGAGTCAGAACCTACTCCACGGCACATAACCACCACCACCACCACCACCAAGGTCAAAATATCACATACTTTTCTATTTCCTTCATAGACACGTTGTTATTGTTAAGTACCAACAAGTTGGTTCCCACCCATAGCAACCCTGTATAGGGTTTTCTAAGAATTCAAATAGACTTTGCAGTCCAGAGCATTAACCCACAGCATCACACCAGGACTCCCATAAAGGCATAAAACAGACTTAAAGGTATAAATAACTGCAGATAACTTAAAAGCTCATAATATCTAAACGTATCTGAAATAAAACCCATTATCATATAATACACGTTTGGGGAAAAAAAAATGTTCAGCCATATTTATGCTTCCTTACACTTTCAGAAATCCAAAAATCTAATGGGTTTGTGTTTTCATGCTGTCCTATGGGTTTTTACCTAATGTATGGCTACTATAGTGAAGTTCACAATTCGAGAGAGCTGTCCCATGGAAAAAAGATGAGGCTTTCTGCTCCCGTAAAGATTTACAGACTTAGAAACCCTGTACAGGGTCACTATGAGTCGGAACCGACTCCATAGCACATAACCACCACTGACCTTTACCAATCTCTTTCCCTCTCAAAATTAGATAACAAATTAAAAGTCCTGATGCATTATACCCTGTCCCACTTCGAAGATCTGACTTGAGAACTAGGTTTTTCCCCAAACTTTGGTTCTACATATTACCTCAAATACTTCCCCTTTGCTACTGAAAAGTGAAAGCTTCACTCCAGACAGGCCTGATAAGCTCACAGAGAATAACCCTTTACCTTTGTGCCTCTTGCTTTTCTTTTTTCTGGAAACTGTTCTCTCATAAATGCTTTCCTCTTGGGCATCCATCTCATCACTGCTGTCGATGATGTCACAGGGCTCACCAGACCCAGAAAGAGCTTCTTCTGTCGGAACCTGAGAAGCTTCCAAGCCACAAAGAGATTTTACTAGAAGAAAAGAAGGGAGAATGAGATGGCACAGTCTTACCCAGAAATCCCAAGCATCCATCATGGATATCAACATCCATCAAGGAGAAGAAAAACGTGGAAAAGGGAGGACGTGGAATCAAGTCTGCTGAAGAAAGCTGAGGATCTGTCACCAAATATATAAAGACAGAAATCCGAACAACAGCAACGGGCAAACTGACTCCAAAGTTGCAGAAACTAGCTCCTTAAAAGTGCCAACTTCAGAAATAAAGGAAATAGGAGTGTGCTATTCTTCCACTATAAACCCTGCGAGATTAAAAACAAAATATGATTCTACTCTCATTTAAATAAATTCTGAGGGGAGGACTTGAATCCCATTTACCCTGGTCCTGAGATAGAGGGTTCACACAAAAAAAGTCTGGGGCACACAGTAAAAAAACCTGAAAACAAGAAGAGAAGCACTGGAAAAGAAAAAAAACGTTCTAAGGTTATTTACACATGAAAGCAAATGCCAGATTAAGTGGAGAATGTGGCCCTGTGAGTTAATGTGCCGGACTGCAAAATCGGTTTGAACTGTAAAGTCGGTTGTTCAAGCTCGGCAGCCGCTTCTTGGAAACCCTATACAGGGTTGCTCTGAGTCGGAACCGACTTGTGGGCACTTAACAAAAACAGTATGTGAACCACTCAAGAAAAAGAAGACAGCAGTGGCAAAAACACGGTATTTCTGCTACATCAACTGCCACTATTGGCTAATCCCTACAATGACCACATGTGTAAACATGGAGAGCAAACACATTTATTGGAAGATGTCTGGAAGACTGTAAGAAAAGTACTGAGTCAGACTCCCAGGAAAATAAAATACCAAGTTCTGTCTTCATGGCCCGAGTCTGAGACACCTGCAGGACGCCTACCTTCCTGCTGGACAGCATTGGCGACGGCTTTCTTGATCCGTCCAGACTTCACGACGGCCGGATCCGAGTTGGCATAATCCGCAACTGTCACTGAAACACAGCACCAACCCTCAAGGAGGAGGCCTCTACTCTTGAGTGTCTTCCCTACCAAGATCTCCTTCTCATTTAGATCCCCAGCCCAACACAGGCACCTCCGCGCGGTCCAGCCCCCTCCCTGCCACTAGCCCCTAGTCTTTCGTTGTCCCCGCCCCCTCGCCCACCTCGACCAGAGCAAGCGTCGTGAGCCCGAAACTTGAGTCGTTTCCCTCTCTTGGGCATGGCTACTGTGTCGGAACGAGGCCGGCCTAACGGGCCAGGACCCCGGGCCATGTCTCAGGCCTGAGGACCGGACCCAGGAGCTGCACAGCAGCTCCGCCCAGCTCCGCGGCCATCGCGCACCCGAGGTACCTGCTCTCGCGAGGAAATAGGCCAGAGCTAGGACTCGCGTTGCTGGACGTCTCCACAATTGAAACCAATCACCACCTGAGCTAGGTATGACGTCATCCTCCGGCGCCTGAGGGCAAACTAGATCTGGATTTTCGCTAGAGAGTTATTCTATTGAGTGGTGTCGATTTTCACTTTACTTCTGGTAAGAAAACTGGTGTCTCAGACCCAGAACGCGCACCGCGTTGATTAAACTTAGAACTTTACATACTGGTCCCCCTAATTCGTCCTGTTTCCGCCTCTGGCCACGCTCTAGGTCCACGTAAGCACCCGGATACACATAGTCACCTTCGTGCCTATGTGCTGTGTCCGAGGCCGGGTTTTAACAATGCTGCGGTGATCCTGACACAGCCCCATTTCCTGTCCTGAGGGTGTCACAGTCTAATGGGAGAGATAAATTAGTAAAGACACATATTCAGTTGTTGTTAAGTGCCATCTAATTGGTTACGACTCATAGCGACCCTGTGTACAGCAGAACGAAGCACCGCCGGATCCTGCGCCATCCTCACAATTACTGCTACTCCTGAGTCCATTTTTGCTTTTTCACTGACACTTCTCTTTACCAAGCATGATGTCCTTCTCCAGGGACTCCTGATAATACGTCCAAAGTATGACACAGAAATCTGGCCATCTTGGCTTCTAAAGAGGATTCTGGTTGTACTTCTTTTGTTTGTTCTTTTGACACTCCATTGTTGTTAAGTGCCCTCACGTTGGTTCCGACTTGTAGCGACACAATAGAGTATACAAGAAGCAGCTGATGAGCTTGAACCGCCAACATTGCGGTTCAAACCGACCTTGCAGTCCAGCACATTATCCTGAGCTCCACTCTTCAACACTATAACTCAAATGCATCAATTCTCCCACATCTTCCTTATTCATTGTTAAGTTTCACATGCATATGAGGCTATTGAAAATACCATGGCTGAGTCAGGAGTACTTTAGTCCTCAAACTGACATCTTTGCTCTTGAGCACCTTAAAACAGGTCTTGTGCATCAGATTTGCCTAATGCGAATATGTCATTAGATTTCTTGACTGCTTCCACAACTGTTGATGTGGATTCAGGCAAAATTAAGTCTTTGACAACTTCAATGTTTTCTCCATTTATCATGTTATATACTGGTCCAGTGGTGAGAATTTTTGTCTTCTTTACAACCCATATGGAAGGTTATAGTTAGTACGTGTTTTAAGTCCTCTTCCGTTTGAGCAAGCAAAGTTGTATCATCTGCATATCGCAGGTTGTTAATAAACCTTCCTCCAATCCTGATACCAGTTCTTCTTCATATAATCCTGTTACTCGGATTATTTGCTCATCATACAGATTGAATAAGTATGGTGAAAGAATACAACCCTGACGCACACTTTCCCAGATTCTAAACCATTCAGTGTCCCCTTGTTCTGTTCAAACAGCTGCCTCTTGGTCTATGTACAGGTTCCTTGTGAGCACAAGTAAGTGTCCCCGAATACTCATTCTCCACGGTGTTGTTTATAACTTGTCATGATCCACACAGTCAAAACGCCTTTACATATTGTGTAAAGCACAGTTAAACATCTTTCTGGTATTCTCTGCTTTCAGCCAAGATCCATCTGACATCAGCAGTGATAACTCTCATTCCATATCCTCGGCTGAATCTGGCTTAAACCTCTGGCAGTTCTCTGTCAATGTACTGTTGCCTCCATTTAAAAATTATCTTTAGCAAAATTTTACTTGCATGTGATATTAATGATATTTTCCTATGATCTTTACATTCCATTGGATCACCTCTCTTTGGAAAGAGCACAAATATGGATCCTTTCAAATCTGTTAGGTAGTTGTCTTCCAAATTTCTTGGCATAGATGTGTGGGTGACTCCAGTGCTTCATCAGTTTATTGAAAGATTTCAGTTTGTATTTTATCAATTCCTGTAGCTTAGTTCTTTGCCAATGCCTTTAGTGCACATTGGACTTCTACCATCAGCCCTTGGTCATATGCTACTCTCAACAGCCCTTGGTCATATGCTACCTCTTGAAATGGTTGAGTATCAACTATGTCTTTTTTGGTACAGTGACTATGTGTTAATGGTAGATAGGACTTGAAACATTTACTTATGAAGGTCAAAGAGCACAGCCTTCGATATGGATTACATCTCAATGTCAAGAAAATAAAAGTCCTCACCAATGGACCAATAAACAACATTCTTATCAATGGAGAAAAGATTGAAGTTGTCAAGGACTTCATTCTTCTTGGATCAACTATCAACACTCGTGGAAGCAGCAGTCAAGAGATCAGACGACGTATTGCACTGGGCAAATCTGCTGCACAGGACCTTTTTAAAGTATTGAAGAGCAGAGATGTCAGCTTGAGGACTAAGGTGCGCCTGACCCAAGCCATGGTATTTTCAGTAGCCTCATATGGATGCGAAAGCTTGACAGTGAATAAGGAAGATAGTAGAAGAATTGATGCCTTTGACGTTGTGGTGTTGGAGGAGAATACTGAAAGTGCCATGGACTGCCAAAAGAACCAATAGATCTATTTTGGAAGAAGTGCAGCCAGAGTGCTCCTTGGAGGCCAGGATGGCTAAGCTTCGTCTCTCATACTTTAGACATATTGTCCGGAGGAAACAGTCGCTGGAGAAGGATGTCATGCTGGATAAGGTAGAGGGTCAGAGAAAAAGAGGAAGACCCCTAATGAGATGGATCGGCCAGGTGGCATCATTGATGGACTCAAGTGTGGCAGCGGTAGTGAGGTTGGCCCAGGATCGGACATTGTTTCGTTCTGCTGGGCATGGGGTCGCTATGAGTCAGTTCCGACTCAATGGCATCTGACAACAACAACAATCCACTTTAGCTTTTTAAAAAACAAACAACAACAACAAAAAAAAACCCACTCAGGCATGTACAATAATTTACATCTCCAAAGGGCACATACTGCAAGTCTGCTCCTAGCCACCAGCTCTTAGTCCCTCTCTTCTTAGTCCATGAATCTAGAGTCCTCAGCCACTCCCCCTTTCCATGCCCCCGTCTCTGCCTCCATCTCTGGTGCTGCTGCTTCTCTGGATAGGGTCGCGCATTCTGCTTGTGCGTTCCTCTCTTGATGGTACTAAGGTCCTCTGTTTCTGGACTGTAAGATTAACCACTCCCCTTTTTTTGTTACAAAACTTCTACCTTTACAATTGTGACAGTCACGATTAGTGATGAAAACAATTATTCACTGTTGAATCTTACGACCTTTATCCTTATCTCTCTTCACCAGACCCATCTAGACAAGATGACAGCTATTCAGTGGGGACTCTGGTTCCCCCCATACTCTTAAACTAAGCTCCCTCTTGAAACCTTGTATGCCAGTCACTTCGTACCTTTATTGCCCCCTCATTTTAGGTAGCCAAAGTCTAAGTTGCCTGTCCCT